ACTATTCAACAGCCTCCCACCAACACAAGGGGCATTACATGTCTTCAAGAGGGAGCTTGATAAGGTCCTCAGGCCGGTCCCTGATCAGCCAGGCTGTGGTTACTGAAAGTGGCCTGAAATAACAGCCTGGTTTATCAGGGCCTGATCCAGCAGTAACAGCCTGGTTTATCAAACCCTGATCCAGCAGTAACAGCCTGGTTTATCAGACCCTGATCCAGCAGTAACAAAGTGGTTTATCAGACCCTGATCCAGCAGTAACAACCTGGTTTATCAGACCCTGATCCAGCAGTACAAAGTGGTTATCAGACCTGATCAGCAGTAACAGGCCTGGTTTATCAGACCTGATCCAGCGTAACAAAGTGGTTTATCAGACCCTGATCCAGCAGTAACAACCTGGTTTATCAGACCCTGATCCAGCAGAAGCTCTGGTCTGGCCTCCTGGTAAGACGAGACGTTCATATCTGAACGTTTTGTTCAGTATCATACAAGTATTATTAAGTCATGTGGAAGTTCAGTCATGAAGGAAGTTGTCTTGTGCATGACCACGGTGCTGACACCTTCTTAATACTCTCACACAAACATATCAACCATATTGCATGATGAGAGGGCGGTGAGTGAGTGGAGTGGGGCGGTGAGTGAGTGGGCGGTGAGTGAGTGGGCGTGTGAGTGAGTGGGCGGTGAGCGAGTGGGCGGTGAGTGAGTGGGCGGTGAGTGAGTGGGCGGTGAGCGAGTGGGCGGAGAGTGAGTGGGCGGCGAGTGAGTGGGAGGTGGGAGCAGAAAGTAGAGAGTGGCTGTGGGTGGTATAGGAGGTTTGTGGGTTGTAGGGAGAATGTGTGTGGTAGTGTTGGTGGTAGTATGTGTTGGTAGTGTTGGCGGTAGTGTAGGTGGTAGTGCTGGTGGTAGTGTGTGTGTGGTAGTGTTGGTGGTAGTGTGTGGTAGTGTTGGTGGTAGTGTGTGTGGTAGTGTTGGTGGTAGTGTAGGTGGTAGTGCTGGTGGTATTGTGTGTGTGGTAGTGTTGGTGGTAGTGTAGGTGGTAGTGCTGGTGGTATTGTGTGTGTGGTAGTGTTGGTGGTAGTGTGTGGTAGTGTTGGTGGTAGTGTGTGTAGTGGTGTTGGTGGTAGTGTAGGTGGTAGTATGTGGTAGAGTGTGTGTGGTAGTGTTGGTGGCAGTGTGTGGTAGTGTTGGTGGTAGTGTGTGTGGCAGTGTTGGTGGCAGTGTGTGTGGTAGTGTGGGTGGCTGTGTGGGTGGCATTGGTAGTGTGGGTGGTAGTGTGTGTGTGTGTGTGTGTAGTATGAGTGTGCGGTAGTGTGTGCGTGTGGTAGTATGGGTGTGTGGTAGTGTGGGTGGTAATGTATGTGTGATAGTATGGGTGTACTCACCTAGTTGAGGTTGCAGGGGTCGAGTCCAAGCTCCTGGCCCGCGAGTGTGTTATAGTGTGGGTGGTAGTGGTATTGAATGATAGTATAGATGTGTGGTAGAGAGGGTGGTAGTGGTGTTGTGTGGCAGTATGGGTGTGTGGTAGTATGGGTGTAGTGGTATTGTGTGGTAGTATGGGTGTGTGGTAGTGTGGGTGTAGTGGTATTGTGTGGTGTATAGGTGTGTGGTAGCGTGGGTGGTAGTGTAGTGTGTGGCAGTATGGGTATGTGGTAGTGTGGGTGGTAGTGATATTGTATGGTAATATGGGTGTGTGTAGTGAGGGTGGTAGTGTGTGTGTGCGGTAGTATCGGTGTGTGGTAGTGTGGGGAGGGTAGTGTGGTGGTAGTATGGGTGTGTGGTAGTGTGAGTGGTAGTGTTTTGTGTAGTAGTATGGGTGTGTGGTAGTGTTGGTTGTAGTGGCATTGTGTGGTAGAATGGGTGTGGGAAGTGTGGGTGGTAGTGTTATTGTGTGGTAGAATTGGTGTGTGGTAGTGTGGGTGGTAGTGGTATTGTGTGGTAGTATGAGCGTGTGGTAATGTGGGTGGTAGTGGTATTGTGTGGTAGTATGGGTGTGTGGTAATGTGGGAGGTAGTGGTATTGTGTGGCAGTATGGGTGTGTGGTAGTGTGGGTGTAGTGGTATTGTGTGGTAGTATGGGTGTGTGGTAGTGTGGGTGTTGTGGTATTGTGTGGTAGTATGGGTGTGTGGTAGTGTGGGTGTAGTGGTATTGTGTGGTAGTATGGGTGTGTGGTAATGTGGGTGGTAGTGGTATTGTGTGGTAGTATTGGTGTGTGGTAGTGTGGGTGGTAGTGGTTATTGTGTGGTAGTGTGGGTGGTAGTATTATTGTGTGGTAGTATGGGTGTGTGGAAGTGTGGGTGGTAGTGGTATTGTGTGGTAATATGGGTGTGTGGAAGTGTGGGTGATAGTGGTATTGTGTGGTAGTATGGGTGTATGGTAGTGTGGGTGGTAGTGGTATTGTGTGGTAATATGGGTGTGTGGTAGTATGGGTGGTAGTGGTATTGTGTGGTAGGTGTGGTGGGAGTGGTATTGTGTGGTAGTATGCGTGTGTGGTAGTGTGGTTGGTAGTGGTATTGTGTGGTAGTAGTGTGGGTGGGTAGTATTATTGTGTGGTAGTATGGGTGTGTGGAAGTGTGGGTGGTAGTGGTATTGTGTGGTAATATGGGTGTGTGGAAGTGTGGGTGATAGTGGTATTGCGTGGTAGTATGGGTGTATGGTAGTGGTATTGTGTGGTAATATGGGTGTGTGGCAGTATGGGTGGTAGTGGAATTTGTGTGGTAGTATGGGTGTGTGGTATTGTGTGGGTGGGAGTGGTATTGTGTGGTAGTATGCGTGTGTGGTAGTGTGGGTGGTAATGGTATTGTGTGGTAGTATGGTGTGTGGTAGTGTGGGTGGTAGTAGTATTGTGTGGTAGTATGGGTGTGTGGAAGTGTGGGTGGTAGTGGTATTGTGTGGTAGTATGGGTGTTTGGTAGTGTGGGTGGTAGTGTGGGTGGCAGTGTGGGTGATGGTGTGGATGGTAGTGGTATTGTGGGTGGCTGTATAAGTGGCAGTGGTAGTATGGGTAGTAGTGTGTGTGGTAGTATGAGTGTGCGGTAGTGTGTGCGTGTGGTAGTATGGGTGTGTGGTAATATGGGTGTGTGGTAGTAGGGGTGTGTGGTAGTATGGGTGGTAATGTTGTGTGGTAGTATGGGTGGTAATGTGTGTGTGGTAGTATGGGGTGTGTGTTATAGTGTGGGTGGTAGTGGTATTGAATCGTAGTATGGATGTGTGGTAGAGTGGGTGTAGTGGCATTGTGTGGTAGTATGGGTGTGTGGTAGTGTGGGTGGTAATGAGTGTGTGTTGCAGTATGGGTATATGGTAGTGTGGGTGGTAGTGATATTGTGTGGTAATATGGGTGAGTGGTAGTGTGGGTGGTAGTGTGTGTGTGTGTGTGTGTGGGATAGTATCGGTGTGTGGTAGTGTGGGTGGTAGTGGTTTGTGTGGTAGTATGGTGTGTGTGGTAGTGTGGGCTGTAGTGGTATTGTGTGGTAGTATGTGTGTGTGGAAGTGTGAGTGGTATTGGTATTGTGTGGTTATATGGGTGTTTGGTAGTGTGGGTGGTATGTGTTTGTGTGGTAGTATGGGTATATGGAAGTGTGGGTGGTAGTGGTATTATCTGGTAATATGGGTGTGTGGAAGTGTGGTTGGTAGTGGTTTTGTGTGGAAATATGGGTGTGTGGTAGTGTGGATGGTAGTGGTATTGTTGTGGTAATATGGGTGTGTGGTAGTGTGGGTGGGTAATGGTGTTGTGTGGTAATATGGGTGTGTGGTAGTGTGGGTGGTAGTGGTATTGTGTGGTAACATGAGTGTGTGGTAGTGTGGGTGGTAGTGGTATCGTGTGGTAGTATGGGTTGCAGTGGTAGTGTGGGTGGTAGTGGCGTTGTGTGGTAGTATGGGTTGCAGTGGTAGTGTGAGTCATTGTTTGGGAGGTGGGGAGGGGGGTGATCGGTATACAAATTATAATTTTTTTAAATATTTCTGTATCTGTCAGCCTAAGTGTCAGTCTAGCACACGCAGTGTGTGTACTCACCTAATTATATTTGCATGGGTCGATCCATTGCTCCTGGACCTGCCTGTTAACTACCATCAATCATCTTTACTAATGCCTTTTAAGTCTCTTTTCATTATTACTTGTGAATCATGCATAGCCTTAGCCTCCTGCCATTAAAAACATACTGAACAACGTGAATCTCTTCCATAGTCGTGAGTGATGTGGGGGTCAGTCCCCAGCTCTCCTGCCGTGACGGGGCGCTTCTTTTGTTTACATCAGTGAGGTCATCTAATATATTTACGTCTCTGTTTCTTTGTTTACGTCACGTCTGGCTGGACTGATGTATCACCAGAGTGAATTCCATGCTGGGTTTATCTCTCCCCAAGTCTACAGTCAGAGTCTGGTGCCCACTCTGCTGATGGTAAGTCTCAGATTAGCCTATTGACACCAGTCCCTAAGATCAACCTATTGACACGAGTCCCTAAGATCAACCTACTGACACCAGTCCCTGAGATCAGCTTATTGACACCAGTTTCTGAGATCAACCTATTAACACCAGCCCCTGAGATCAACCTACTGACACCAGCCCCTGAGGTCAACGTATTGACACCAGTCCCTAAGATCAATCTATTGACACCAGTTTCAGAGATCAACCTACTGACACCAGTCCCTAAGATCAACCTATTGACACCAATCTCTGAGATCAACTTATTAACACCAGCCCCTAAGATCAACCTACTGACACCAGTCCCTGAGATCAGCCTATTGACAGCAGTCTCTGAGATGAACCTATTGACACCAGTTCCTGAGATCAACCTATTGACACCAGTCCCTAAGATCAACCTACTGACACCAGTTCATGAGATAAACCTATTGATATCAGTCCCTGAGATCACCCTACTGGACTCCAGTCCCTGAGATCAACCTATTGACACCAACCTCAAGGATTGTTCTTAAATTCAGGAGATCCCAATTGCAGTAGAGGTACTGTGCTTACCTCTACTCTGCTGTCCAGCAGGTTGAACTCTACCCACCTGTACTCTACTCTCCGGCAGGTTGATCTTCAGAGCGACTTCCTCCCTCATGAAGATATCTGGGTAGCGGGTCTTGGAGAAGAGGGACTCGAGTACGTCTAGCTGTGCCCTGGTGAAGGTGGTCCTCTCCCGGCGCTGTTTACGCGCCGGTGCTGCTGAAAAGTAAGAAGACAAGTCTGTCAGCGCAGCGCAGACTGGACTGGAGGACGTCCAGCTGCACCATGGTAAAAGTGCTCTTCTCTTCCAGAAAACGAGAAGACACATTCGTTAGCGCAGCGCAGACTTTTATAGTGAAGAATACGAATCTGTCAGAGCGGCGCAAGCTGGGGGCATGAAGGCAGGGATTTAGGCTTTAATTGGGAGAACGTTTCGCTCATACATGGTAGTGTACATACATGATAGTGTACATACATGTTAGTACATATACATGTTAGTGGATATACTACATGGCAGTGTACATACATGGAACTGTACATACATGGTAGTATACATACATGGAACTGTACATACATGGTTGTGTACATACATAGTAGTGTACATACCAGATAGTGTACGTAATATCTCTCCTTGGGTCTTGAGAGAGGGAGTAGATGCACTGTGTGTACCATTAACAATCTTCAACAACTCTGTCGACACAGGGCAACTGTCTGAGGCGTGGAAGACAGCAAATGTAGTCCCGATTTTTAAGACAGGAAACAGACAGGCAGAACTAAAATACAGACCAGTGTCGCTGACATTTATTGTATGTAAAGTTATGGAGAAAATCATCAGGAAAAGAGTGTTGGAGCACCTAGAAAGGAATGGACTCATACATAACCAGCACGGTTTCAGGGAAGGGAAATCCTACATGTGTACATTACCGGTACACATTACAGGTGTACATTACTATGTGTACACACATGGTAATGTACACCGCTATATAGCAAACAGTTTGCTTGACATGACAATAGATTCATTCATGACGCAAAACTTGCATGTTATGACTCTTTAATGATGCAACATTTGCATGACGTGACACTATCTTGACGCAAAGTTTGCCTGCCTTCATACAGTCATGTGACTATCCCAAGCATGAGTGTGAGATCACGGTGTTATACATTATACTAAGCATGACTGTAGGTATCCCAGCACTATAGACGCTGGTATCCCAGCACTATAGACGCAAGTATCCCACCACTATAAACGCAAGTCCCTCATTACTATAGACGCGGGTATCCCAGCAGTATAAACAAGGTGGTGGAAGGTAAACAAGAGATAAACAGAGCAACAGAGGCGCAGACAGCGCCCTCTATTTTACAAGGGTCTGCACTGAGATGGCTCCTGGGTTACTTCCTCTATATTTTCCGGGATTAGTTCTTCCTATGATTTTTTCCTCTTTATCTTGCGTGGGGAGGGAGGGAGGGAGGGAGGGAGGGAGGGAGGAAGGGAGAGAAAGGTGGTATGGGTATTGTATCGTGATTCCCTCCCTCTCGCTCTTTCCTCTCTCTCTCTCTCTCTCTCTCTCTCTCTCTCTCTCTCTCTCTCTCTCTCTCTCTCTCTCCCAGTCCCCTTTCCCTCTCTGTCTCCCATCCCTTTATTCACTCCATCACCCACCATCATTATTATTTATGATTAATATTGATCATGGTGGAGGTGCTGATACTTTGGATGGCTATACTGCAGACTCTCTCTCGTCTCTCTCTCTCCTCTCTCTTCTCTCTCTCTCTCTCTCTCTCTCTCTGTCTGTCTGTCTCTGTCTCTCTCTCTCTTTTTCTCTTTCTCTGTTATTTAGTCGAGATTACTGATGATATGGTAGTGGTGGCGCTGTTCATGGTGATGGTAATGTTGATGGTGTCGGCGGCGGCAGCGGTGGCAGCAGCGGCAGAGGCGGCGGCGGCGGCGGTGGCGGCGGAGGCGACGGCGGCAGCGGCGACGTCACTGCTGCTGCCTCCGTTGGTACTCTTACACTTCAGCCAGAGTCCGACACCTCCAACGGCTTCTGCGTCTCCTCCAACACCTTCGTCTCCTCCAACACCTTCGTCTCCACCGACACCTCCGTCACCTCCGTCTCCACCAACCCCCCCAACACCTTCGTCTCCTCCAACACCTTCGTCTCCACCGACACCTCCGTCTCCACCAACCCCTCCAACACCTTCGTCTCCACCAACACCTTCAGCTGCTGCAGTTCTCAGGCTTGCAGAGAGGAAACCTTAGCGAGTGTGTTGGGAATACTGTAGAAACCTTGTCTTGATGGAGGAGGAGGAGGAAGAGGAGGAGAAGGAGGAGGAAGAGGAAAAAGAGGAGTAGGAAGAGGAAAAAGAGGAGGAGGAAAAAGAGGAAGAAGCTGAGGAGGAGCAGGGGAAGACAGCAAGGTGATGTAACGAGTTTTGTGTGCCTGGCTAAATCTTCAATATATCCGACTGTTTGCAAATGTGTGTATGTGTGTGTGTGTGTGTGTGTTGTGTGTGTGTGTGTGTGTGTGTGTGTGTGTGCGTGTGTGTGTGTGTGTGTGTGTGTGTATGTGTGTGTGTGTGTGTGTGTGTGTGTGTGTGTGTGTGTGTGTGTGTGTGTGTGCGTGTGTGTGTGTGTGTGTGTGTGTGTACTCACTTATCCAATTGTGGTTGCAGGGGTCGATTCATAACTCCTGGCCCCGCCTCTTCACTTGTCCTCTCTCGCCGTGCTCCATGAGCTTTATCATACCTCTTCTTAAAGCTATGTATGGATCCTGCCTCTGCTACATCACTTTCCAGACTATTCCACTTCCTGACAACTCTATGGCTGAATAAATACTTCCTAACATCCATGTAACTCATCTGTGTCTTCAACTTTCAACTGTGTCACCTTGTTGCTGTGTCCCACCCTGGAACATCCTGTCTCTGTCCACCTTCTCAATTCCTCTCAGTATTTATTACCTTTAAAAAAATATTGATTTATCAATAAAATAATTTTTTTTGTGATAACATTAACTTGTTAACGATATTAATTTAACGATAAAATTATTTTGGTTATATTACCCGGCTAATATTACCTTGAAATGAGTAATATCATTCTGGTGATATTTTCCTATGATTAATATTAATTATAAGTATTACTGTCTATAATATTTCCTTAATATAAATATTACCTCATTAATAGTTATTTTATGATAATGCATTTGTAGTAATATGTAATATTGGTTATAATATTTCCCTTTAAATATAAATATACCATTAATATGTAATATAATATTATTAATATGTAATATAATATTATTAACATGTAATATAATATTATTAATATGTAATATAATATTATTAACATGTAATATAATATTATTAATATGTAATATAATATTATTAACATGTAATATAATATTATTAATATGTAATATAATATTATTAACATGTAATATAATATTATTAATATGTAATAAAATATTAATAATATACAATATCATATAATTAATATAAATATAACTGTTGTGAAAATATTTTTTATTCTCTAAAGTTCATTTAATCAATATATAATACTAAGAGTGATGTTTTCTATATGGTAACAAAGCAGAGAAAATATTCTATATAATATAGCCTCAGAGGTTATATTCCCTACAGAGTTACACGATTTTTTTAAAAATATATAGTGATAATATTTATATGTAATATGATTTTGGGGAAATATTACACTCGATGTAATGTGATTTTTAGGGTAATTTTATCAGTATGATAATATTATCAGTATGATAATATTACCACCATGATAATATTACCAGTAAGATAATATTACCAGTATGATAATATTACCAGTATGATAATATTACCACCATGATAATATTACCAGTATGATAATATTACCAGTATGATAATATTACCAGTATGATAATATTACCACCATGATAATATTACCAGTATGATAATATTACCAGTATGATAATATTACCAGTATGATAATATTACCAGTATGATAATATTACCAGTATGATAATATTACCACCATGATAATATTACCAGTATGATAATATTACCAGTATGATAATATTACCAGTATGATAATATTACCAGTATGAATATTACCAGTATGATAAATTACCAGTATGATAATTACCAGTATGATAATATTACCACCATGATAATATTACAGTATGATAATATTACCAGTATGATAATATTACCAGTATGATAATATTATCAGTATGATAATATTATCATACTGATAATATTATCAGTATGATATTATTACCATAATGATAATATTACCAGTATGATAATATTATTAGTATGATAATTATTGTCAGTATGATATTATTACCAGTATGATAATATTATTAGTATGATAATATTGTCAGTATGATATTATTACCAGTATGATAATATTATTAGTATGATAATATTATTAATATGATAATATTACCAACATGATAATATTACCAGTATGATAATATTACCAGTATGATAATATTACTAGTATTATAATATTACCAGTATGATAATATTACCAGTATGATAATATTACCAGTATGATAATATTACCAGTATGATAATATTACCAGTATGATAATATTACCTGTATGATAATATTACCAATATGAAAATATTACCAGTATGATAATATTACCAGTATGATAATATTACCTGTATGATAATATTACCAGTATGATAATATTACCTGTATGATAATATTACCAGTATGATAATATTACCTGTATGATAATATTACCTGTATGATAATATTACCAGATGATAATATTACCTGTATGATAATATTACCAGTATGATATTACCTTATGATAATATTACCAGTATGATAATATTATCAGTATAATAATATTACCAGTATGATAATATTATTAGTATGATAATATTACCAGTATGATAATATTACCAGTATGATAATATTACAGTATGATAATATTACCAACATGATAATATTACCAGTATGATAATATCAGTATGATAAAATTATCAGTATGATAATATTACTAGTATTATAATATTACCAGTAGATAATATTACCAGTATGAATAATATCAGTATGATAATATTATCAGTATAATAATATTACCAGTATGATAATATTACCAGTATGATAATATTACCAGTATGATAATATTACCAGTATGATAATATTACCAATATGATAATATTACCAGTATGATAATATTATTAGTATGATAATATTACCAGTATGATAATATTACCAG